AAAAAAAAAAAATCAAAAGGTGCTTTGGCCAACAGCTGAGTAAGTCTGCAGAGAGACATGCACAAAGATACAGTTTGGTATCCTATGCTCACCTGCAAGAAAGTACCACCACCATTAGTTTGTTTCTTTGTGAACTATGACGAATTGTTAGCTGAATCTGCCCTAGTGGAGACTGTCCCAAAGTTGTCCCGCTGCAAGTAGAAACAGAACATTCCAGTCAATATCTGAATATATACAAAAGAACAGATTACTTGAATTATACATGCAGATCCATGTCACTGATGCCATGCACTATTTATTTCATTTTTTGTTAGGCAGAGCTTTCTAAAGATGCATATGCAAGAAATGCAGCTCCAAGGGAAAGAATGAAGAGCTTAATTAGCCTAAAAACTGCACCAGTGCTCTGCTGCTAGGTTTCCATTACCTGAATCACTGCAATCTGTATGCTATAGATATAACTGTTTGTTTGACTTCCATTTTCATCCTGATACACTTTACACCTTGCTTATAAACTTTGCTGTCAAAAAGGAGGAGGTAGTACTCATGATAGTTCTGAACAAGTGATGTTCTCCAAAAAGACTTTGAAAAAAAAATCACCACGTATGAATTTTCCTGAAGAGGAAAACTGAAGCAGCATTAACAAAACTGATGAGAATAGAGCAAGACTATATTCAGGATCACAATAAGAGAGCAATTTTAGTGGCACAGAATCAATTAAGTGACACAGCAAGACGCAGAGCTGATGGTTGAACCGAGCTGAAAAAGAAACTAGACAAATTCATGGAGGAAAGGTCCATCAGAAGGTTTTGAACATGATAGATAGGGTGCAGCCTTTGAATCAGAACTGAATGCTTGAAGTTGCTGTGGGAGAGGAGCAAGGGGTGTCCTATTTTCCCTCCTCCTGAACATCCCTCCACCACTGTACAAGACAGGACACACTAGGCTAGATGGACCCATGGTTTGACCCAGTAAATAGCAGTTCCTATGTTGATTTTAGTTTTCATCTCTAAATTCTATAATAATACCAGTAAAAACCCTCCCTAGTGATAAATAACAAACAGAAACTGATACCAGGTTGTAATCTTCCTACTTGTAATTTACAGCTGGATATTAGTTAAGCTTCTAAACCGGGGTGGGCAAAGTCCAGTGGATTCCATTTCCCAGCAGCTCCGCACGCCCGGGGAAGGGGTATGTAGGCAACAGATGCTCTGCCCCCGCTCCAGACCATGCTGTCAACACTGCAAGATCCCAGCCCTGGCTGTGGAGCAACTCTTCACCCAGCTGTGCCCCCTGCCAGCACTGCTGGAGCTGGTCTCCATGGAAACCCTGGCCCCGCACTGTCAGGGCACCGCAGCTGCTGAGGTCTCCATGGAAATCAGCTGTAGTAATGTGGGCAGGGGCTGCTGAGAAATGGGGAAATGCAGGCAGGGGCTGCTGAAATCCAGCCACTGGCCAGATCTGCCATTTTGCCAACTCCTGTTCTAAGCTAATTTGATTTTAAATGCTCCTGCCATTTTATTTTAAATGCTAAACAAGCATGTGGCACTAACACAGTCCGTTTTGCTTTGCTTGTTTAAAAAGAAAGTTCTGACTGATTGTGCATTAAAGGTATAAGGTTCAAATTTACTTTTATGTACATAAAGAAGTTATGTACATGAGGTCATGTTTAATTAAAAGGAACATCGCATGTTTATTTTAATGCTTCATAGCTGAGGGAGTGGTAACTTGGCAGAGCTTCAGATGAATGTACTGCATGTACAACACTCCTGAATCTATAACACCTCTATACATAACTTTCTATTCACATAAACTATGCATTCTGCAACTGTACATAAAAATGCCTGTGCTTACTTAAGATTATACATACAGTACATCTGAAATTTTAAATAACTTCTGAGTTATCTAGGAAATATCTTAAGTAGAATGAAAAAAACAGACTTAATTTTTCTTGCACAGTTTACACAGGTGTGACTACACACAAGACTCCACTAAGGTTCCCAAACAATTCAAACTGGAACATAAACACAAGAAACTTCACTTCCATTTTTTGGAATAATAAAATTGGAAGCAAACCAAAACACGGGTTTGCAAAAAATGCTTCATCAGGCATAAACTTGTCAGTGGGATCAAAATATGGCAATGTATTTTATCCTGTCTTAAATAATAAGCTCTCTTTATTTAAACAGTTGAACTAAAAGCTGATACAAAAATACTGGGTTAGTTCACACAATGAAAAAAAAAGAGGTTAATTTAAAAAAAGTTCCTACAGACTACAAAGATGAATGAGTAGGTATAAATTTCCACAGTAGCATAGCACCAGCCCTGGGTACTGACTTAGAGGGGACACAAAACTGGTGGTCACTACCATCCTGTCATGCTTCTACTCTGGGTGCAAAGGCTGCTTGTTATGTATCTGGGTTGCCATCCTTTTATGTATTACAGAATGGCTGCAGCACTGTAGCACTGAAAAGTGCTACTCTTTTGCACCATCAAAAATGAATGAATAATAATAATAATTAAAAAACCCAAGAGAGAATCTAAACAACAACCAAGGCCTGTTTCAGTGATCCTAATTAATCTAAAGGGAATTAATTATTCACATAACATTCTTCAGTTGTCATCCCTCTGGGCAACTCTAAAACCAATTACATTGAGCCTATCTGCTTTCATGACATTAATGCCAGTAGGCTCCAGAAGGGTCAGCAATTCACCACTCTGTAATGGACTGATATCATACTGGCAAAAAACATGGTTTTGCTTCTCTACCTAGCTAATTAGAGAGGAAGCTGGACTTCATTTTACCTTTTACATCAACAAAAAACTGTCAGGTAAGTTGTACTTGCAGAATCTTTCTTACTAAGAAGTTATGAAGCAAAAAGCACAGAGACTGATTTTTTTTTTTTTATAAACTGAAGTTGAGTTTGCAGCATTAAGCCATTACAGAAAACATTTCTGAACTGCAAATGGAGTAGGATTTTTTTTTTTTTTTTTTT